ATGAAAGTAAGTGAACAGAGGAAACACAGAGTCAATGAAAAGAGCAGAAGGAAACTTAGTTCAGAGTTATTGGCTTTAACTATTGGAGTAAATCTGTATCGGAAAAAAAGAACACCTATCACTAGGGTTAGGGATGTTCCAAGCAAAGAAAATGTGACTAGAAGTTTTCCCATTAATTCTCCAAAGGACAAAAATTCAGTTGTTTTAGCAAGGCACTGATCTTGTTGTTCATTTGGCCTGTATTCCGAAGGACACAAGTCACAGCCAAGTGAGTCTGGAAAGAGAAAGAAAAACCATATTGTCTTTATACTGTATTTCTTAAACTATAATTGTACATGTTTCAGACCTTTTGGAATCTCACATCATTTTACAAAGGTTGGAAATACAAAAAAGCAATTACTTTAAAGTCACTTCTGAGAACAATCTAAATCCAGTTTAAAGAACAAAAAAAGATCTCATTAGCAAGAATGTTGCATGTTTAAGCTTCTGTTAAGTGCAGGTACTGTACGATATGTATGGTTAATAGAAATATTACATAAATACTATCAAGACAGAAATAAGGTCTTTAAAGACAGAGGGTCTACCTATTTTCAGCTGCTAAGCAAAAATCATGTTAATGGGTATTAAGAACTATATTTCACTATTTTTACTTTACCTGTAGTGTTACTGAACTCTCCCTCTGCACAGGGAATGCAGATGAAGCAGCAGACTGGCTTCCCTTTCTCAATGGCCTTACGAGTCCCTGGAAGGCAGCTCTCACTGCACACTGATCTTGGCACCTGTGACACAGTTACAGTATATTTTGATAGGATTGTAGCTAATTATAATGTACTTTTGAAACTGATATTCTAATTGATTATTTTGGAAGAGGTTGTTTTTAATACTGGTATGAATGTTCAGGTGAATACCTACCTTATTCTGATTACCTGCCCAGACAATATTAACATCTTTCAGTATGAACTGCTGTTCCTCTGGTAAAGAAGCATCATAAAGACCAATATTTTCAAAAGTTATGATTCCCTGCTTATTATTTTGCCAGTTTACTATTGTATATCGTGCTACTGGATCCCCATTTTCATCAAAAAATACATTTTCTCCACTTCTGGTTGTGAAGTTAACACTTTTTAGGTAATGTAGAACCTGGAATAAAATAGTGTTAATTTCCTTACAGTATGTATACTTGCTTTCATCACACATTAACCCTTAGAAAAAGGGAATATGTAAGTCTTTCTATATACAGTACTAAGTACAAAAAGGTATCCCCTGTAGTTCAGAAACATAGGATAAAAATGAAAGTAAAAACATAAAAACATAACACTGCTGTATGAAGGCCTTAGAAACATTTAACATCATCCACATTGACAATATATTTAAGTCATGAACATAAATTTCCTCAAATCCCTCTCTAGTGTTTTTAACTATGTATCCTCTTTGACTATTATTATTAATATTTGACTATTATTAGTTTTAATTTTACAGTGAGAAGAAGTTATTGTTACTTGATCACAGTTTTTTTAAATCTTGATCATAACACCTCATGGCAAAATATGCATTGGTAGGCAATATGAAGTGTTTAAGTACATAATCCATCACATCTATGGGTCAAATATCAATTTCACTTGTCATTACCATCATCTGTCCCTCATTACAAAATCACATACTGTAGCTAAATGCCAAAATATAGACCTATGAGAAATGTTAGTTTATTACAACAAATTATAACACATTAAAATTGTGTATTCAAAATAGAGTAATAAGTTTTACAAAATTTGTAAATTTTCCAATTAAATATTTACATAGAGCAGAAAAAAAATAATGTCCTTACCTGCCAGCTTTCTATTCTGTGTTTGTTTGCACATATTCTGTTGTCAAAAGGTCCTTGTCCATTTTGACATGTCATCAGATTGTGCAGTGCATGAGCGATAGCATACACTGCTTTATACACATTGTATGATATTCTTAGGTCTGACAAATCAGTGTATAGGTTATGTATTGTTTTCAAAGTCTCTGTTCCTGTGCATGGCTTAACATTAAAATTATTGTGAGAATTTAGGCTACAGTTGAAAATACTTTCCCAAAACTCATTTAAGCCAGTATTCCCAGGAGTGTTTGCTGGTCGACTATTTATAATAAATTCTTTAAGTCCTGGCATCTCTGCATTTGGAATTGCAAAGCCAATAGCCCCACCCAGGACTTTATAGCCTGTATCTGCAAGGTTCTTGTCTGTAATCCATGCCTCAGTACCAACCCACTGGAAACCTGTGACATTCTGTATCAAAAGCTCTTTAACTAACAATTCCAAAATTATATAAGGTGTAAAAGCAACAATGACTTTTGAAGACGATTTCTTAACAATATCTGCAACTTTAAGGAATTTATCTCTAGGATCAGTTTGAAAAAGAGCCTCTGAATATTCTATACAGATCCCTTCTTGCTGAGCAGCTTGTATAAAGGTAGCCATCCCACTGTTACCATAATCATTGTTACTTCTAATGGCCCCAACCCAGGTCCATCCAAAGTGCTTCACAAGCTTTGCCAGGGCTCTGCTTTGATAATAATCACTGGGAATTGTCCTGAAAAAAGTAGGGAACCTCTTTCTATTACTGAGACAGGCACAACTTGAAAACTGACTCATCTGCAGAAAGGAGAAAGAAGATCATTGGTGCTGAGGGACAAGTATTTACATTTTATTCTATATCTATTAAAATATACAGTTCTCTTACCACTGGTATGTTAAAGGGTCCAGCTGTCGTTGCAAGTCCAATCGTCTGTGATGATCCAGATAGTCCTATCATTGCATGAACAGAGGGTGGCTTTGGGCAGGACTTATTTAGATGATCACTTTCCTCCTGTTGTTCATTCATTAATATTAATGCAGCTTTTGTGGCCAAAGCTACTGAACAACAAGCATTGTAAATCTTATAGCCCAGAGAGACACCAGGAAGAATTTCAGAACTGTTATTTATTTCTTCAATAGCAAACATCAGCGTTTGAGCATATTTGAATTCTTCAGGAATCAAACTGTAGGGGCAAAGCATTACCTGTTAAAAAATGTATTACAGTATTTCTGTAGTTGTTTGATAATATGTTATGCAGTATCATGCACATTTTTTGGATATACAATTATGTTTGGTATTGGAATGTGGTATTATGTGTTTCATAAAAAGGCTTACCTTAAACATAGTAGTTGTCCTGGTTTAACTGTAAATGTTGGTTTTTCAGCAACAGCTTTTATATGGAATGAAGAAATTGCCCCTATATTTATATCTCCTTCTTTTGAAAATTGGGGCTGTTCAGATGCCTCATATGGTTGACAACTAGGCTTCTCAGCCCCTGTGAAGAAAGAAATCATGATTAATTTCAACAGCAGCAACATTACCTTATGTTACCCTTTCTTTCTCTTGTACAAAGCGGAGTTGCCTTACTTTACAGTACTTATATAGATCTATGTTAATCCCATGTGTTTAAATGAACTCACCAAAGCCTTAATTCTCAAAGGTGATCTGAGATCTGAACAAGCAAAAACATTAATTATGGTCCTGCATGTATATGATTGCTCTTGTGCTGTTGGGACATGGGACCTGTGCTTTTGTTTTATTCATTCTTCCAAAGATTGCAAAATATAATGAGGAGTTGCAATTTAAGTAAACTGATGATGTTTGACAGAATATTACACCAAGCTAATTACTGTACTGTAGATAATATGTATTGTTTTCATTATCATACACTTTTTTGTGAGTTATAATATTCTAGTGTTGGTAGATGGCACTCCACAGCTAGGCAGCTACATACAGTACTTTGCCAGTCAATGACAATGCTAGGATAGCTATCAGT